AATCTAGCTGAATAATAGCTTCGGCGTCTTTTTTACAAAGATGTATGTAGCTAGCTACAAGCGAGTTTATGAGGAGGCATTTTAGCTGAAAACGGACACTGCGTTGTCTAACCAACCAACCACAGCTCAAATTTATTCTAGCTATTATGATCATGCAATAATTGCAACTAGACGTATTTATACGTCACCGGGAGCCAAAGGGTTAAGGGATGAAGATCTTTGCGGACTTAATACTGCGTCGCTGCGAAGGAGAACTCGTAACTTTTTCTACAATACAAGGCACTAAAGAGTTCAAATGTAATTTTGAAAAATTAAAAGTTGAGTTGATTTATAAATCGGGTTGAACGCAGGCAGAGTGCAGCATTTTTATTCAGTCAATCATCAAAAAGCTGCACTCTGTCTGCGTTCAACTCGATTTATAAATCTCAACTAGCGTTAAAACTTTTGACTCGAACTATCTATACCTATTTTAAATTTTCTACTAAAAGTTAAAATAGTTATAAATGATTGATGTTATAGATATTTATAAATCATATACTTTTAAACTCTTCAGTGGTACATGGGGATCACCCATGTGCCAACTTCTTTGAGTTATTTATGCTCAAGAAAATATTAAGTCTCTCCTCCGTGACTGACTTCGACATAAGACTGCAATTTATTTTCAAAATAAAAATGCGTAAAATCTCACTGTGCCAAAATCATTTCCATTCTCAGATCTACACAGTCAGTCTCTTTGACTGACACAGTAACAAAAATCTTGACTGTATGAAATGCTTAAATGAGCCTCAAATCGCCACACTACTCGGGAGAGAAAAATGTTCAGTCTTCTAACAAAATGGAAAGGGTACATTGGCTCTCTCAGAGACGACTGAATAGAAAGTGGCGAGAAGAGAGAAAAGGAACATGGGTAAGGTAAGATCTAGGGGTGGGTACTTTTTTTCCTGTGGAGAAAAAAATGCAGATTGCAAAAATGAAAAGAACACAGATGCATTTTGGCCGCGACGCCCTTGCTCTTGATTCGAAATGTATGATTATTTCTATTCGAAAAATAGAGCAGAAATAAAAGAACATAGTTCTCTAATCCGACTGGCAACTCACAAATCTTAGGTTGATCTGTTACTAGGGGATGATCTATTATTAAGGGGTGGTTTTCAATTATGAGTGTGGATTCACCATATGATGGATTGTTATAATGTTCCACGCTTTAATCTAAATTGAGTTATAGAGTTGGATGCTATACGCACCCGTGTTTCACCAATTCAATATCCAGAGATATATAACTTACTTCATCGTTCTTTCGCTTTTAAGAGCTTCCACCTTCAAAGCAAAGCTCAGATTGGTAACTTATGTAAAAGAACTGCATTGTGTGACGTGTTTGACAAGTCTAATGCGCATAAAACGCTCGCTCTCAGGGTTCAGCACTCAGCAATTTCTCAACCAAATCATTCCTGATTAAAAGTCACTACTCACAAATCTCTTTTACCGACCGAGCATCCTAATAACATTGATTCAAAGCATTTCACAGTTAAAATTTGTAGGCCTCCAAACTCGAAGTGAACATTAGACAACAAATACCTGAGGACAAACTACTTCTCCTTGGTAAGACAAACAGAAAACCTTCTATATAAAAATGGCTTCAGAGAAAAAGCGAAGGTTCAAGTTTCTTCGCAGTAAAAGCAAGTCTGAAACAATATAAGCATATAGCAAAAAACAAAAAATTTAACATACAAACAACTAAACAAGCAGCCGTCACATGCATACACAACTACACACTAAAAAATAATGTATCGCATGTGTCGCAAATTGCGACATATTCTGCGACACATCTTTTCCATTGAGGCTGCGACACATTCCGCTGAGTATTTCTACCATAGAGAAAACAGTAGAAATTAAGTATTTTCGATCTCTTATTCGATTTTAAGAATATTTCTAGTTCATTTTCGGATGCTCTACGTGATGTCAACAAGCTCAATCCGCCGGTAATATTCACAGCCCTTCAAAATATTTAGTTTCCGAGGTCCGGGAGTAATGGCGTAGTCAAGGCCTCTGATTGGTTGTTTTTCATTAGAGAAAAACTAAATAGAAATAAACTAGAAAATAGTTAAAAAAGACCAAGAGAGGGATCTTTATCCAATAAAAACACCAATTCGAAATTGAAAACACTTAGAAAGTTCGAAAATTTTCTTATCTTTTACGTATTACCGTCACCTATAGCACATCAAAACTGAAAAGAAGCCGAGAAAAATACTAATGAAGACTGCTGAAAATAGTAAAACATAAACTTTAGTGATCTTTTGAAGAGAGCAGATCCTGAAATGACCACAAGCACTGTGTCTGAAAGTTCTTAGTAAAGGCAACACAATTTTCTCACAGGAGCTGCGACATATTTTACTTCAACACAAAATGCGACACAATATTTTTTACTGCGTACCCGCCTGTAGCTTCTTCATTTTCAACAACCTCTTCTCAACCTTGACACGGTCAGGATCTCTCCACGGAGGTAGCTTTTCAAGAATCTTTAAGCATCTTTCAAAGCACTCCACCGCACGATTATACTCCCCTTTCCTGTCATAAACCAGGCCAACATTATTCAGACTACTAGCAATATCTGGATGATCAGATGGCAAACATTTTTCTTGCATCTTGAGACATTTTGAGTAATAGTCCAAAGCACAATCATACTCGCCTTTCCTGCCATAAACCAGGCCAATCTTATTCAGGCTACTAGCAATATCTGGATGACCAGATGGCAAACATTTTTCTCTCATCTTCAGACATTTTGAATAATAGTCCAAAGCACGATCATACTCGCCTTTGCTGTTATAAACATTGCCAATACTAATCAGACTACTAGCAATACGTGGATGATCAGATGGCAAACATTTTTCTCTCATCTTCAGACATTTTAAATAATAGTCCAAAGCACGATCATACTCGCCTTTGCTGTTATAAATATTGCCAATAGCAAAGAAACTACTAGCAATATCTGGATGATCAGATGGCAAACATTTTTCTCTCATCTTCAGACATTTTGAATAATAGTCCAAAGCACGATCATACTCGCCTTTGCTGTTATAAACATTGCCAATACTAATCAGACTACTAGCAATATGTGGATGATCAGATGGGAAACATTTTTCTTGAATCTTGAGACATTTTGAATAATAGTCCAAAGCACGATCATACTCGCCTTTGCTGTTATAAATATTGCCAATAGCAAAGAAACTACTAGCAATATCTGGATGATCAGATGGCAAACATTTTTCTTGAATCTTCAGACTTTTTGAGTAATAGTCCAAAGCACGATCATACTCGCCTTTACTGTTATAAACATTGCCGAAACTAATCAAACTACTAGCAATATCTGGATGATCAGATGGCAAACATTTTTCTTGAATCTTGAGACATTTTGAATAATAGTCCAAAGCACGATCATACTCGCCTTTACTGTTATAAATATTGCCAATAGCAAAGAAACTACTAGCAATATCTGGATGATCAGATGGCAAACATTTTTCTTCGGTCTTCCGACATTTTAAATAATAGTCCAACGCACGATCATACTCGCCTTTGCTGTTATATATATTGCCAATAGCAAAGAAACTACTAGCAATATGTGGATGATCAGATGGGAAACATTTTTCTTGAATCTTCAGACATTTTAAATAATAGTCCAAAGCACGATCATACTCGCCTTTCCTGTCATAAACCTGGCCAATACTAAGAAGACTATTAGCAATAGCTGGATGATCAGATGGCAAACATTTTTCTCTTATCTTCAGACATTTTAAATAATAGTCCAAAGCACGATCATATTCGCCTTTGCTGTCATAAATATGGCCAATACTATTGAGTGTTGTAGCTAATGCTTTCTCGCGGAGTGGCTTGCACATCATCGTGGTTTCATAGCTATGCTCGTATAGATGCAGTGCTTTGTCGTATTCGCCTCTGAAGTCGTGAGCACGACCAATGTTAAACTCAATGTCACTTAGAATTTCTCCTTCAGGATTTTCAAATAGATTCTCGAAGTACTTCATTGATTTGTCATAGTGTCCCATGTCACACAGAAGTGAACCGAACATGATGGCAATGCTTGTTTCTTCTAGCTCTTTTCTATTCAACTTGATATATTCTCGTGCTATATCTGCTCCTTCGCTTGTCACTCTCAGATTTACACGACAGACATCCGGCTTTTCACGGTCAACTAACTGAATTTTGAATGTTGCTCCTAGATCAAACAGGACTTCTTGCTCTTCTGGATAGTCGCTGAACTCAGCTATGTCAGCACACACAATAGCATCATCGCTGAACTGACTCAAATCATACTCAATCTCAAAGAGAACAACAACAGCGTCTCGACGCTTCGTCGATTGAGATGCGAAATTCAAAGCCACTGAGGGCAAACGACTTGTGGACAGAAAACCATTTGTCGAAATGAGGTTACCTTTATTCTCTTCCAACTTTACAACTTCTTCATTCGACAGCTTCACACCACGATAGACTTGAAGTACACCTTTCTCGCGTTCTCTCATCTTCTTATACTCTTGTGCAAGACTTGAGCACAGATCGGCAATGAAAAAGCGAAATATGTGCAGTTGTTCGATGTCTTCTGTGCGTAGAGCTTTGTTGATGAGTTTATAAACAAACGACTGTCGTGTATACCATTGAATAGCCTCAGCTCTTTGGTAGGTGTCGTTGAATTCTTGGATGGTTTCCACTTCTTTTCTGTTTCCACGATAATACTCGTGACACTTTTCAATCATCTGTCGTTTCCCGTGATCATTAGGAGGTATTTGGATGATTAAATCTTTGAACAGTTGAAACCACAGAAAGGATGCAGATTCGCGAGTTAAATCACGAGTTGATTTTCCTTGGTTATAAAAGTTGAATGATTGGATTTGTTTCTCAACCACATCGATATTGCTTTTGATCGACTTGACGAGTTCTTCATGTTCACTGAATATTCCGATTATTTTCGAGTATTCATTTTGGAGATGTTTGTACTTGTTTGGTTTGAGACAAAAGATAAATATGGAGTCGATTTGAGACTGAGTCTCGATATGAGGCAACAGATCGATGGCACATTTGCCCGATGTGACAAGAAATATTCTCTCAGTTTGAACTTTTCTGATGTGGTCGAGGCATGAGTCTAAGTGCATGTGGAAAACAGCGAAGTCGTTGATTTCTCTTAGCACTGCCTTAGTGCGTTGTGTGTCATCGTCTGTACCCATGTTTGGGTCAAGCCAGATCAATGTAACACTCTCTTTGTTTTCTTCATTTGGTGTTCTCTCATTAACAGCAGTCGTCGATGGTTGAAGCGAAGTAGAAGAAGCTTCTGATACGAGTTGTGCATTTTCATTGGTTTTTGTGTAAGAAGCTGGTGATGTTTTGGATATTTTTGTTACTGTTGATGGAGGACATGTTGACTTTGCGTCATGCTTTTCGTTGGTCAACGAGTATTTGTGAGAAGTGGAGGACGAGGATGAGATTGTCGCTTTA